TGGGCTCAGTCATTCTTCAGCAAACACATGCTGCAATCTTAACCATAACTTATTCTTTCACTCTATTTCAGGCCTACATTGAGAAATACAAATTTACTAGTGTTGTGGCCCAGGATCTTCTGGACTCTTTCCTGAATTTTTTCCCAGAGCTGAAAGAGCAGTGCGTTGAGAGAAAAGAAGGTGGGGAAGAACATGGTTTAGTCAACTGTTTAAGGCAAATAATATTGGAACGAACAGCCGAGGGCTTGGATTAGAGGATGTGGGAGAAAGTGCTTCGATTTGAGGAGGAAAAACAGTTGATTTCCTTACTGACTCATCTTTGACATTTGAACAGTTCTAATTGAAGCTGTTATCACCCTGCTTATAATGTCAATCATCAAGTCTAGAGGAAGAGGGTAGAACAGCAATGTTATCTTTTCTTAAAATACATGGAGAGTTTAGATAAGGGGTTCCCCCACCAGAATGTGGCAGAGGGTGGTTTTCCCCGATATCCTCTGTGCATAGACCCGATCTTCTGTTATGTGTCGTCTGCCGTTTACTCTGCAGATGGATTTGTCTGTCAAGCTCTGCACTATATCCGGAGGTTGGTTTGGTCTTGGCTGCTGATTTTGTTTGTGCTTTTTGAAATCCGCTGCGTTCCCAATCCTGGGACAGTCGTTTGTCTCCCTTTCTACGGAGCAGAAACTCTGTCCCTCTTGCTTACTTGCATGTTAATCCCACCTTGAACCTTTCTCGGAAGTGAGGTTGCAAAGTTACTGGGAGAGCTGGACACAAACACACAGGGGTACCTGAGAGAAAGCTGGATCTACAAGGCCACATCTGCCTTTCTGACTCATAAATACTTCTTGAGTGCTTGTTGCCGTAGTGAACAAGCATTAGAATTCATTTTGGGTAGCGTTAGGGAGGATCACGTTACTTTTGTGATAGTCTAATCTGGTAACTGCTAAAACTGGTAGGGTCTCAATACTGGGAGTTTGCCCCCTGCCATTTTGCTATGACTATAGGTTGCTCTGATTTGCTATTGTTAGAACTTCTCTTAACTATGCTAGAAGCAGTCCCGAAAAGCCAAGCCAGCTGCAGAGACTCCTGCTCGACATTTTTGATGCTCCTCGTTCCAGGACTGGAGTTTGAACGTTGGCTCAATGCTACGGGACCTCCATTAGCTGAGCCAGACTTATCTCAGGGATCCAGTCTGACCAGACCAGTGGAGACACTCTACAGCCTCTGGACCACTGAGCCTCTGGATGCCGTTGCTGCCGCCAGCAGTGTTGACATCACAAAATGGAGGACGTTCCAAACTGTGCTTTTCTTGGACAGATTGCTGGATGGGTCACCACTGCCCCATGGTGAGTACTGCACTTGTGTGGTAGGCAAATGTACTTGGTACAGAAGACATTATTTAGCTTGCCCTGTTCACTTAGCACCGTAACACCCATCCCAAGTCTAACTTATTGTCCACTATTGTCTAATTTCCTTGAAACCTGGCAAGAAGCTCCTTATAACAAGCTGTTTCTCCGTATGTGCGTATGTCTCTCTCTCTTTAGAGGTGATCAAAAAGCTTTCGGAAAGTTACTCCTCCCAGCTGGACTCCATGAACGCAGAGATCCGGATCCGCTGGCTGCAGATCGTAGTCCGAAACGACTACTACCCTGATCTTTACAAAGTCCGATGCTTCTTGGAAAACCAGGTACTAACTGCTGGATTAAAAGGCACTGTACCTCTCGGTGGATGAGACGTGCATGAGACATGCAACGTGTAAGAGACCTTGGAACTTCTGCTTCCTGGCCAAGTGTAGCTCAGGTGTGTTACAAAGGGGCTGTTCCTGGATCGCCTGCTGAAATGAGAGAGCTCTGCATTGTCCTAATCATCTGTTCAGCTCCTTCCTTCTGTGACGAAGGATTGGACAGAGCATCACCTGCAGGCAAATCTTATTGTCTGTTATTCTGTTCTGGCTCCTCACCCCAGAGCCAGTTCTGTCCCCAGCATCCCAGTCTTGTCTTGTTTCTCCAGGTGTGGGATCTCCAGGGCAGAGACCATCAACACTACCAAATGTGTGCGATGATTTGGTTTTGTTCTGGGTGTGCCTGCCCACTTGAGGCTGGGTTGAGGCTTCTCAAGCTCCTTTAGTTTATCTTGCTGGGATCCTGTGACCCCAGCTGACTTCTGCCCCTGGGGGCTGGACTCGATGATCTTCCGAGGTCCCTTTCAGCCCTAATGTCTATGAAATCTATGAGTGTTCAGCTCTTGGCCACAAATAGTAAAATTAACTAGGTTAGACAGACAGTCCAAAAAAAAAAGCCTGTTATCTTATCCATAAAGGTTGCATATTGAGGTGAGGTAAGTAGTTTGATTAGTTGGGTTGTTTTTTTTTTACTTTTCTTTTGAAGAGATGTAGTACTTGCTTGCCATCTTGGTCACAAAGGACCATCTGGGCACGCTGTTGGCATGCTCACATCTCTTCATCTTTATGTACATGGTTATCCCATTGTATTCTCATTGCAGAGGTCTCGGATGTACACAATTCCACTGTATGAGGACCTCTGCACTGGCACTCTGAAGTCCTTTGCCTTAGAAGTTTTCTACCAGACCCAAAACCAGCTGCACCCCAACTTGAGGAAAACCATCCAGCAGATCTTGTCACAGGGCTTGAATCCCCTTCCCACCATAGACGCTACAGCAGTCGCCACAGACACACCAGCCATGGTGCTTGAGGACAAAGCCTCAGAGGCCACTAATGGTGCCATTTCACTCAGGGATGTTAACGTGTCTGCCTAGATCACCAGCTCACGTCAGGCTTGAAGCTTGAGGAGGGGGACAGGAGCAGAGTTAAAATATCAAGTGCCGCTCGTCCTTTCCCTCAGCCCTGCCGCTGCAGTTTGTTTGCAACTGGATTTCTTGAAAATCCCCAAACACAACGCAAACGTGCCTTCAAGTACCTGACACAGTGACATTGCCAGGTTTCAGGGATCTCGTCCAGCTGTGAGCAGACCCTAGTGGGTGGGTGTTTGGATTCGGTGCGTGGGGGAGTTGTTTCCCCACTGTGGGTGGACGGTTCTGCTGCCCGGGGCCCTTCGTGGATGGCTTGTGTGGGGGGGTTGTTTTAGCCCAAAGTGACATACTGCTTGCTGTGTATTTGTAGCTGGGGAGGAGCGTATGTCAAAAATCAGGCTAATGGAGACTTTGGCCAGAGGCCTAAGAAGGAAAGGACTACTTTGAAGAACTTAAAGTGAGAGCAAATATGTTTTTACCACGTGCTCCTTACTGTGACGGAAATGTGTGATTTGAGAGGTGGGGAATTTAATGTTCGGATAACTGGGAATCCAGTTGAGCACAGCGCCCAGGTTTCTCTGCGGAGAGGATGGAAACCTCATGAAGGATTTAAAATCCTACCTTAATCCAGCCCTAACCTCAGTCTCCCATTTGCACTGATTAGGACTGACAAAGAGCAGACACTTAGATTGGGATTTTCAGATGGGTCTAATGAAGTTTAGTTGCCCAAATTTCATTGAATTTCAATGGAAGTTGGGATGCCCGAATCTTAGTTTTTTTGGTAAGTTCAGCCACAATCCTCAGTCTTGTCCTGGGAGGCACAGCAAAAGAGTCCCCCAGGTGGCCTGTGTGCTGTCCATCTGGGCTCTTTGGGAATAAGAAATAGGACCTTTTATTTAATTTTTAAAAATCCCCCATCTGTGCTGGATCTGCAGAACAATGCGGAGATGGCTGCCAGGATAAAATCTCCATTCTGCGTTTCCCTTGGTCTGATGACAGTTGCCCCATACGAGGGAGCCGCCTTTCGCAGAACGTGAAGCTATTCAGCTGGCAGCTGCTAGAGCCTGATCTCTTCTAATCATGTCCATACCCTGCCTCCTGAAGACAGAGAAGTGCCAGAGCATTGGCTGCTGGCATCACTGGCCCAGGCAGCCATAGCGTAGAAAAAGAGAGTCCTGCCACTATTCATTCCCTGAGGCCTCAGCAGGAGGATCGGCAAAGCATTATTGATAGTTGCACATCAGAAATAAATGTGGAATTTCTAACGCGACCCCTACAAAGGACTCAATGCAAGCAATGCAATTCAAAGTCTAAAGAACCTCTGCTGTCCTAAAACACGGACAGTCTTGGTGTCTCTCTCTGATGACTCCCTAAAAGCATTTCGGAGTTGGTGTACCACGGTAGAAAAGAACTGACCTGAACTCAAGGTAAAACCTTTAGGGTAGTCTTAGCAAAGGGAAAACCAAGTGACAAGCTGTCCTATTCTTTGTTGGAAGGTGTACGTAGCACAGGAGAGGAAACTTGGGAGGTATTTCACCGAACAGAGTTTGTTTACACCCACATCCAGATGGGGATTTAGGTGCTGTTACTGGATCTGCTCTTCTGGCTTTAAATTAATTTGGATTTCACATTAGCCTTAGCCTGGGAACGAACTGAGATAAAGCAATAATAAACTCAGGCCTCCACAGCACTTCAGTAATTTCCAAAGTGCACCAGCAGCATCCTGGGAGCTTGAGAACTCCACTTTTTCTTCTTTTAATAAGATTAACATTTTTCCTTTTCCAGTGGGAATGGGGGAGGGAGGGAACAGTGTTTTCCAGATAATTTCCTTTCCTTTTCTTCATCATTGCTTTGTGATGGATTTGTGCAAATTGACCTTTCTGCTTCCTTTACTGCCTCTGCTGGCACCACCACCAGCAGTGCCAGCCTGGCTACGACCAGTAACCACTAGCCTTGTTTGGACCCCCAGGCCTCTGTTTTATCGCATTTTACTTTATGGGAGAATGTATATGACCCTGGTGGAAATTTTTAATTTACGTTGATGCCTTAAACGTTGATTGTCAGATTAAACTAAGCTTTGTGACACATCCAGCCTTTCTGACTGTTTGTTTTACAATTTCCCTGCGATATACTGCGGGGAGCTTTGCACTCGGAGCTTGAGAGGGTAAAAGAGAATGGTGCATAGATAGGAAATGAGAGGGAGAGCGTGGTGATCATGTGGGGAAGGGAGAAGCAGTCTATGGAAAGTAGCTGAAACAAGAATAGTGGAACATCTTCCATAGTCTTAACTTAGGGTCATCGATCAGAATTTTTGTCACCAAAATGTTTTGCAATTTTTCATGGAGTCAATGGAGCACTATAGACGGGTGGAAGAGCAAATGAAGTCGTCGTGTTTTGTATGGGGGACGGTGCACGCAGCTTTTAGAAGCTGTCCGTGGGCTGTGTGCAAAGAGACAGACGTGCACATGTGAACACAAGTGTTGTTTTTTAGACCTGTTTAGGGGCAGGGAGCGTATGAATGTTTTGGGAAGGAAAGGGGAATGCTCACTGAAACCAACATCTTTCTTGAGCGACAAATGTAAGATGCAGGTTTGTGTTTCCATCCTGATCTCTGTGAGAAATCTTAGAGGGATTATTTTCATGAGATTCGTCCACTGTCCCACTGAAACATGGTAAGATTTCAGCAACGTTACTCTATGTTCCTGTGTCCAAAACATGAGATCCCACTGGGAACAGATATGTGTTTTGATTTATTTCAGAGGGATAAAAACAAAATTGGAAGTGTGTCTTTTGTGATGGATTCGCTTTACTTTTGCTGTTGCAAAATAAGAGAATTCTTCAAGCAGCCTCTGACTTGGCTTTAAATCTTATAGGTCCTGTGCCAGTTGTTTTATACCTCTCTCTCTCTCTCTCTCTCTCTCTCACAGATGAAGACATTTTTAAAGCTAGAAGAGACCCATATGGTCATCCAGGCTGACCTCCTGCATAACAGAGGCCAGAGGGGAAATCAGAGTCTGGGGTTTATCAACTTCATGACTTCTGTGCTATACTTTGTTTTAGTAAGACACCCAGGCCTGATTTAAACATTGCAAATGATGGAGAAACGTCTATGTTCGTTCCTAAGTTACAGCAATGGTAATTACCTCCAGGTTTATGTCATGTTAGATGGATGTTGTGGCCACAATGGTCCAGGAATTATGCAAGAGGCAAAGATTTTTGGGGGGTGAAATCTTTGATTGGATGAACTGCATGGTTGGACTAAAGTAAACTTTTTTTTTTGGTACAAATTTTCTATTCTGAATTTTTCTAGGCTGTTTCCAGTCACTGGGCAAATCTACATGAGATGCTTAGTGCACAGAAGACTAATTCTGCTGAGCATTAGCATGGCTGGCAAAAACCATGCTAATGCACAGTAGATTTAGTCTAATGCGCATTAACGTCGCTTAAAAAGTGTTCATCTGTGCTAATGCACTGTAGTGACAATTACGGCATATTAATTTAGTCCCTGTTATTACGGGGACTAAACTTAATGCGTTGTAATTACAGTGCATTGATGAACGTGTAGATGCGCCCATTAGGTCATATTTTGCTCTCTTTTGTCAAATAGAGTAGCTGTCTACTATCAGAAATCTCAGTCCTTCAGGTACTTGTATACAGCAAGCAAGTTACATCCTTGGATAAAATAGAGTGAGCTTCTTCAGTCTCTCACCTGTCATGTGCTCCAGACCTTGTATCATTCTTCCAGCTCCCATCTGGACCATTCCAATTTTTCAGTCTTCTTGTTGAAGAGGTAGGTACCAGAACCAGTATATCGGTCTCAAATGTTTGTTGATACTGTGCCATCTCAAAAAGACTGTTGTGTTAATATTACTCAGGGTATTGCATCCTATATAGTTAGCTATTGCCAGGGTATCCATCTCCACTCTCCAGTTCAACAGAGTAAAAGTTGTTGCGCTAGGGTGCAGCACTGCCGTCAGTCATGTGAATCTTAAACTTTGGCAAGTGTAGCCAAGTGAATTCTGAGGTGTGGAGTTCACTTTTGTGTGGTCTGTGATAACGCCAGTGCAAAAAAGACCAGAACTAAAAGTCCCGGTATGCTTAGCTCTCCCTCGGTAAGTGGTCATCCAGAAGAGTTTATTGAAAACATGGTGCTATTTTTGGATGACACTGTAAAGTCAGCGAAAGAGGAGAAAGTGTGGCACTAAATGAAGTGCGATTATTGGGAAAAGGAAAAAATGGGGAAATGGGTTTTTGGGCATGAGAGCAAATGTGATCGTAGAGTTTTAAGTAAACAAGAGTAACCACAGCATGTACATTTAGGGGGAAGAAATAGAAATCTAGTTGTTTAGCCAACTTGTTTTCAGACATGATAGCTTGAAGAAGGAAAAACTGGTAGAGGCAGCAAGAACACGGCTAAAGAGGTTACTCTTACAATTCACCCATCCTGACTTTATTTTCACTGAATAAGCACAACAAAAGCAGCTATACTAATGCAGCTGCTTAATCTATAGCACCACTGTCCAGCTGGCAGGCCATGTGCAGCCCATGAGGTGTTAAGTTGCAGCCCCTGGGCTCCTGCTCGGCCTCCAACCATCGCTCCAGCGGAAACACCAGCTGGGGGCTCTGGGCTTACCCGTCCTTCCTCTGGCTGCTGCTTCCTACCTCCATCCCAGTGGGTGAGGCAGAGCTGGGGAGGGGGGTGTTGCCTCCACAGGTGTGCCATGCAGCAGCAGGGACATCCATGCAGACTGGGAGCCCTGGAGGACATGCAGCCCCTGGCCATGTGGATGTTGGACTGCCCTGGTCTCTCGCAAAGGCACGGGGAAAAGTGAAATTCATGGTTTACACTGCAAATCCATCGTTGCTCTTGGGAACCGAAGGGAAATAACACGCGCACACTTTTTGATTTCCCTTGAAGTGTTATCATAAGCCACTCCAAAGGCTACTGCTGAATGGTTGGGAGTTCACGCCTTGCTCTGGACCCTTGAAGAAGCCTACCCCAAGTGACCCAGTTCTCAACTGGAAGGCCAGGAAGCCATGGGGGGTGGACGTGGGATGGCCACGTGACTCCCTTATCTGCTGCTGGCTACATCAGTGGTTCCCAACCTCCTTTGTGCTGTGGACTGGCATCGGAGTGATGGAGCTCGCTGCCTCCCTCCCTCCCGGGGGCTGCCCCACCCCCCAGCTTTAACCCTGGGTGGACAGTTCGGAGGGCTGAGCAGGGGGCTCATGCCACAACCCGGCAGCCAACCCTTTGTGGCCCAGTACCAGGCAGTGGCCCGGTGGTTGGGAACCTACAGGAATTGACTTGCCTTAACCACGCTAACCTGAGCAGTCCTTTCGCATTTTTTCTGATAGCAAATGGTTGGCAGTCACTACTGTGTTTCCATTATGAAAGCATCTGATTTTTGCACCATTTGGGACCCCTGGGGACAGCTTTTTTCAGTTGTCTCCCTCTCCCTGTTTTATTTCCAAGGGCATGTACAGCCGTGGAAGGTGATGCGAGCTCCAAGAAAAATACTAGTTCTAGCAGCCAGTAATCTGGCATGCCATACCCACACTGCCTGCTTGCCAGGCCTGCCCTATGGTCCAAGATACAACAAGACAGATTTTTGGCTGTTACTAATTCTGGTTCTATCCCAGTGGTATCTGAGTGGCCCAGTTCTTGTGTCCTCTATCCGTCTTGGTTCGTGATGCCAAAGCTGCGTGTATTGGAGTCTCTTCACTTGCTGGATTGCAGCCTCGGCCAATGGGGAATACATCAGTTGTGGAACAACACCTGTGCAGCAGTTTAATGTGGGGGACTTGAATGAATTGAAACGGCTGGAGCATGAATTTGGGAGTATATACTTCTCTTGAATCCATAGCAGAACTTCCACTCATGCACTTGGATAGTGGTTTCCTCAAAGATCAGGAGTCCAATATGGCCTTTATCTAGTAATCAAACTTCGAATGGTTTTGTTTATTATTAAGTTCTTATTGTCACATCCTCTGCTGCTTGGAGTGAGGCAGGATATAGGCTTAGTCATCTTTCTGCCCTTTGTTCCTCTTTCTTCTTCATCCCTCACTCTTTTGCTTCTCTGTGTCTCCTTCCTTGCTGTAGCTTGGTTTCCCTTCCTTCCATTAGAGTATTCAGCAGTGGAATAGCTAAAGTTGTCATTTAACGTGTTATCACCGGGCTTACAGCACTAACACCTCCGGAGACTAAGGGGCATTGCAGGCATTCACACCTCTTTTAGTGATTATTTTAGACTGCCTGATTATTCAGGAAGGCAACACTGCATTGATTTACACTTCAGTCATGTTTGTAGGATTGTCTTCACAACAGGGTTGCCAACCCAAGGCAGGTATTTTACTGACCGTCCTTAAGGTTTTTACTGACAAGTTTTTTTTTACTGACATATGTTTTACGTAGTGTAAATGTAATCCTTCTGCCAGGCCCTGGACAAGGGTTGGGTTCAAATTTTCGGGTTTAACACCCATCGTAGTTTTCAAAAACAAACAAAAATATTTAACTGTCAGTAAAAAAAGTTTTCAGATTATCAGTAAAAAATGTCTTGCATTGGCAGCCCTGCTTGATTACAGCAACGGTTTTACACTGTGCTGCCACTACCCCCCAGTCTTACCTCCACATGCCCCCCTGTCCCGGCACAGACAACCAAAGGAGGAGGGTTGTCTGTCTACCTGTGACCCAGAAGTGTGACAGGCAGGCAATGGGACATAGCAGCAGCATTTGGCTGGAGATGTGGAGGGGGGTACAGAGCCTTGAGCAAATGCTCCCTGCAGGGTGGGGTGGTCCCACTCGGACACGAGGTGATGTTCCTCTACTCTAGCACGTGGCTCAATTTTTTTATGAACTTTATGGACAGGCATTTTTAGCTTGTTTTCTTTTTATGGACTGTCCATAAATATATGGACAGCTGGCAACCCTGCTTCACAACCACAGAGGCTGGAGGTTATTTTTTCTTTCCCTGTAATGAGACCACGGATTCAGCACGGTTTGAGCCTGCCATGCAAGCTGCATACATATGTCAAGCAGGCTGGGTGTCTGGTGCAAGCACAGAGGGTTGCTCAGACAGGACCATCTGTCAGTGGGTGAGGGAGAATGGAAAAGATGAATCTGGGCAGTGGAATCTCACAAAACATTGATCATTCACACTATGGTCACTGGCCCTGAGACTCAGTCCTGCATTCAGCCTCTCCTTGGGGGGAGTGATAGATGTTGTGGTTCTCGATTGGATATGAAGTCATATGGGCAGCTTTCATCAAGCAGGTGGAGTCTTTCTCAGGTCAAGCATCTCTTCTGTCTTTGAAGAAACTTGAGGGGTAGGTAAGAGTCTCCTCCTGTCAGCCCGCGTAGTTAAATACCCAAGGCTGTTCCAAATTCTCAAGCAGTCCCTGATCCAAGGCACCTGTCCTTCAGCTCCTAGCTTTTTTTGAAGTCCATCACCACCTTTTCTTTCACGTGTCTCTCTAAAGTACAGACTATTTTAGGGACTTTGGCCAAAGTTCTGCATCATGCCGCTGAGGTGTGCCATGGAGCTCTCAGTCTATGGAGAGTATGGGGGTTACCAAGCTTCAAGGTCTCTTTGCACTCTCCCAGTCCTGGCTGCTTCAAGGACTGGAGTGACCACTGGCGAAACGTAGACAGGTCATCTGGGGGTATACAGTATGTCCTGAATCCTTCCTCTGCGCCCCCCCCCCCCCCCCCCCCCGCCTGCGACTTCCAAACGTGTCTTGGAAAGCATCCTGCTGTATGTCATCTGCAGTATCTATGCTTGGGGGAATCTTCCCTAAACGGGATGGGTAGTTTTTAGGTCTCTCTTATGCTGCCCTGGATCTCTAGCCCCTCCTTTCCACCACAGTAAAAGGGAGGTGTTGGTGTTCGTGTGCATGATGTGGAGGGGATCAGATCAGCTCAACTGCACCCACTTCAGGGGTTTCTGAAATCTGGGACAAATGACTAAAATGGTTAAAAACAGTGCAATGCCAGAAGCTCTGGGAAATGATCCTAATGATGTAATTAAGGGTCTGTTTCTCAGAGGACTGGTTTTTCTAGGTCACCATGGCTTGATTGTTCAGCTCTACTCTGCAACTCCAGTCATACTATGCAACCATAGTAAGCTAAAGCTTTGGCCTGGCAACAGTTGAATTTTATGTGGGGCATTTTGGGATGCGCTGTGAGACTGACATTCAAATACCTTCAGGACCTGGCACCTAAGAAAAGCCTTTAGATAGCTGGCTTCCAAGTAGTTAGACTGGTGGGGTTGGGAGCCAGGGGGTCTGGGTTTTGTTCATACTGCAACTGACTTGCTCTGTGACCTTCAACAAGTCCCTTATGGCCATTTAAAACCCATGACAAAGCTTCTGTTGACTCCACTGTCAGTTGGAGCAGGCCTTGAACCTCTCCACGCTACCAGTTTACTTTTCTTGAAAGTGAGGATAATAAGATCCTCCTTTTGTCAAGTGCTTGGAGAGACTCAAACAACAGTCCCTATGTGCATGTGCCTTCAAGGTTCCCTTCTGGGCTCATTCCCTGAATATGTCTGAATTCTCTGTCCTCAGGAATAGTTGGATTCAACGAGGTCCTTTGGAGGCAGCCAGGGAAGTATCTGTGTTGTCAGAGTCTAGGATAATGTCTGACATAGCTCTAAGAGCCATGTTCTCCTCTTCCTTTCCTTGTACTATCCCGTGTGTAGCACTGCTAAGAGCTTGGAAAAGGCAGGTGCAATGGGTGCTCATACAGCAAGAGGGTGATGACTGCACACTAAGACTGTGCCTACTGCAGAG